TCCACATCTAATGGGTTCTGTCCTGGAAAGGGGGACCAGAGCTCAAGATTCCCCCTGCCTTCTCTCACAGAGACACTTGCCTTTAGTTTGCTTAAGTACAGACTGAGAATATGGAATTAAAATCTTTCCCCCAACTGTTTTGAAAGAGAAATGATTTTGCTTCAGTTGGTGGTTGAATTCCCACCCACTCCAGGTCTGGCAGATTTCTTTATCTCTAGGTCCATTTCTCTGAAAGGTTTGGAATGTTCTTATCTTTTCTTTGTGTTTGTAGGCCAGCTTCAGCTCAAACTCCTCTGTGCCTACTGAACACACTTATTTTGCAAATAAAATCAGACCGATAGGAGAAGTGTATCTTTTCCACCAGAGCTTGTACATATGGTCTTGGGTGGCAGTTGTGTCATGGACAGAAGGGTCACACAATCTGAAAATATTATTCACTTATCATCACTAGGTTTTAATGCCATTTCATGGCTATTTTGTTGACGAGCAGTAAATAGTAACAAAATAGATTCAATAGATTTTTTTTAACATTAAAAAGAAATCTCCTATGTATTAGAATTCCATGGCTCCAAAGTTTTATGGGGAATGAAAAAGTAGGCATTATATATGTAATTTAATAAGGCATGACTTTGAAGCAACACAATCTTGTGTTTAAGTCCCAGCTTTATCATTTACTGCCTGAGTGAACTTGAATAACCTGCCTCTCCTCTCTGAGGGCCTCTGCATAACTGGAAAATCAGGCCCCGTTTGGAGATCGCACCTTAATCCACTGCAATGCTCCTGCCAGTCCTCAAGCAAGCAGTGCACACTCAGAAAGGACTGAGCTGTGTTGGCTTTTCTGCCCCCCAAAAGGTCACAGTCCAGTAGGAAATTAGAAATTGGTGCACTAGATGTTGCAATAAAGATAAAATTAAGAAAAGCATAAAAGTATTCTACTAATAACATTTGTAGGGGAAAAAAATTCAAAAAATCAGCAAGCCCTATTCATTGGCCAACCCTCAGCATGGCTTTCCACACACTAGAATCTCTGCAGATGCTTGAGTCATTTCACCAAATGTATTATGTGCAGTATTCCGGAGGGATGGCCCCTGAATTCACAGATTATTTTTTAACTAAGCCACTCTACTGTATTTCTTTTTAAAATGGTTTTCAGGAATGTTGATGGATGCTAGATAGCGAAACAAGTAGGAGGAGATGAGTTTCCAGTATTTATCACCTTTGTTTTAATGTAACTTTCTTTTAAACGGATTTCATAATCATACGTTAGAGTAATAGCTGTGATTAACCATTGCTTGGGAAGTCCCAGGGAATTAAACCTCCAGTTCTTAACAGCCAACAAACAGTGCAGCACAGCGATGGGTCATGAGGATGTTCAGGCTATAGGGACCTCAGTTGTGCTGTGACATAACTGAGAAAGGATGAACTTGGTATTCTAACCATCTTCATAGTCTGGACTCATGTGTGAACACATCCGCTCAACCCATGTGAGCTTCATTGTGACCCCAGCTAGAGAAAGGGCTCCAAGAACTGCTGCTTGCCCTTCCCTCATGGAGACTGAGACCTGGTCAAGGGCTTTTTGAGGCAGGAAATCTAGCAGCAACCAGAAGTTTCCAGTTTTCCCTGCTAACTGTTACCTTTTCTGTAAGCCAATTAAGTGCACACTTGTGTAGAATCAAGTAAACTCCTAGGCTTATATGTTTATATCTATATGGTCAGAAGGGAAACATGGACACTTTATAGTTATGCTACTGAATAAATGATAAGCATGGTCACTGCTAAAAAGCCATATGTTGGTACAGGTGTGGTAAATATTAGTATCTCACATCCTAATTTGTTTTGAAAGACAGTGTAGAAAGAGCCAAGTTAGAGCAGAACAGAGCTGGCCTGATTGTTCTTTGGTTTGGTGTTTTCGTCCAGACTTTCCATGTGGTAAATGAGCAGAATCACACAGAGGTAACGCTTTCTGCGTGAATGGGAAAACAAAAGAAGATGCCAGCTCTTGACTGATGTGTGTTTGCCAGTAACGTCTACAAAGACAAGTATTCTTTTCTGATTAATACAAAGAGTGAAGGGTATTTTGTTAAAAAAAAAAAAAAAAAAAAAAAAGCAGGCTGTAAAGAACAACAAAAAATAACCTTCAGACTGCCAGTGTTTGGGCGTGACTGGTTTGACAAAGACCTTTGAAGGGAACCATTGTTGCATGAGTAATTGATACTGAGATTCACCCATAGGCAAAGACTTAAAAGATGGGCAGTGCTTACTTCACCCTTCGTGCCCTATGGCCCTGGGTGACCTCTCCACCGCTGCCCCACAGTGTTAGCATGCTGTCCTACTGACCAAGAAATTAACTGTTTGTAAAGAAGATAGGGGAACATGTCCTAACATACAACTTTGAACTCTTTCCCCCTCTTCCACCTTCTCTTCTCCTCCCTGCACACCCCTTCACCTGCCTCCCTCTATCGTTTCCTCCTCTCCCTTTGGAGGTCAGTTTTACCAGGTGAACATTTCTAAATTTCTGTATTCTTAGAGGGGAAAGAAATCCACCCAGTTTAAGAGGAAGTTTATTTAGCAAAATAAAGCAAAGGATGGCATACTCTAGAAACAATGACTGTAATCACTCACCAGAAGGGAGTAATATGTGTCAGAGAATGTAGGTACCAGCCCATTGGGTTCTGCATTGCATAATTTAAAGGAATGTTTATGAATTTGCATGAGATAGGTGATATAATACTGATGATACTTTTCCCCCTCTCTTTTAAAAAATGGTGTGTGTGGGTGTGTGTGTATGTATGTATGCATGCGTATGTATATATGTGTGTGTTTGTGTATGGGCATATTTATGTGTGTGTGTATATGTATGTGTGTGTGTCTGTGTCTGTGTCTGTGTATGTATGTGTATGTGTGTGTATGTATGTATGTGTGTATGTGAGTGTGTGTGTGTGTGTGTGTGTGTGTGTGTGTGTGTCCATATCATCTATGTTCAGGCATCTACAGAGCCCAGAAGAGGGCATCAAATCCCCTGGAACTGGCGTTTACAGGTGGCCCTCAGCCAAAAGATAGGGGTATTGGGAAGCAAACTCAAGTCTTCTGGAAGGGCACTGAACCATATCTACAGTCACATTTTAGGGTATTCATATCCAGGTTCTTTTTAGAAGTCCACAAGATAATGGTGGGGGTAGGGAGTCAAACTACATTGCAAATGATACTATGACATCACATCGTTTATTTTTAAATTTAGATCCTTTATTAATGTACATGTGTGGCAGTTTGGGAAGTTTCAGGGTTTGGTTCCCAGCAACTATGCCTGGCAGCTCACAACCACCTGTAACTCCCACTCCAGGAGATCCAATTCTCTTTTCTGGTTCCACCAATAGCTGCACTCATGCACATACACCCACACAGACATATCCATGTACACATGTTTAAAATTCGAAACAAATATTTAAGGAATAGCTTACAAAAGTACCTTTCAATGTAATCCCATGCTTCTGACACAGCATGTAAGTTTCATACCCTTACCAATCGCATATTTCCTCAGTGTCCAAAATTTTACACAGCCTTGACACAAAGTTATGTCGAATTGTTTCACATGCACCAAGTTAGTGTCTATCTTAGCACTTCATATTTGACTGTAGTCCAAAGTGGAAAAGACAGACAACTGGTTGACCTCCTTGCTATTCTACCTATACTGCACATTAGCTCTTACTGTGCTGGCTGATTTTCCCTTGGTCACTTGTCTCTTTCCTTGGTCTGCAGAAATTATATATCATGAGTTACTAGAGATGTTTATACTCATCATGTTTATTATAAATTTATTTTGCTCTTGCCCCCACTGTGAGCTCCCAGAGGAATGAGACAGTCATATTCACTTTTTATTTCCAATGCTCATATGTTTCTTGGTGAACAATGCATATGTTACTCATTATTTTTATATATTTAACCTGATCAATGAACGTACGGCTGAGGTAGGTTAGTAATCATCTATTAATAACCCCACGGTTGTGATATCCTCCATGTAAATAGAGTATAGAATAAATGTTTGAAAGGGGAGTAAGAAGATTAACTATCCTTGTACACTATTAATTTAATTCATTTTTATATAAAGAGGAATTATTTAAGAGCATAACTAATTTCATTTGTAGGTAAAATTAGCCTACTGATCATTATAGCAAATCACTACCCAGATTATCTAGGCAGATAATATTTGGACATGGAGAATATATCAACTGCAAAAACTGGAGTTTTACTTTAGATAAATAAGGATCAAAGTTGAATTAAAGAAAAGCATACCTGAGGACCTAGCAGCAAAATGAACAAATTGAAGGCATTAATTGGCACAGTGTCCTGGTATTTGTTTATCTCTTAGTTAACCATGAATTCTAACTTCAATTAAGCAACACCTCCACACACACCCTGGTAAGCAACTAGTGATTACAAAAATAAAGCCTTGGGTCCAAGTGCTTACATTTATTGTCCAAGAGTGTGATGCTAAAATTGTAGCTACAAGAGAAGTTATTAATCTGAAGGTGAAATTTAAGTTCTCTGAAATCACTTCTGCTTTTCAATTCTACTCCTTACCCGCTGGAGGCAGAATGGGCAGATAATAATTTGAAGCACTTATAAAATAGGTCTAATGATAGGTCAGACTTGCTGACAGATTTAATGAAGGGGTGTTTATTTTCTTTTTGAAATCTACACTCTGTTGGGAAGTGTAAGTATAGCATACAGTAACGATGCTATTAATTAAGAGAGATGAACTTGATAAAAAAAAGACTTGATTGTCTAGTATTGGAAGTTCTGTCTTGATTTTAGGCAGAATGTAGTCCATGATGCTGTCTAAAGAGACACCAATTGTGCAGCTTAGGAACTGTGCTATGTATGCCTGTATGAATTTTATAGACTCATTGGTGTTTTCTAGATAGTTTATATTTTGATTTAATTAGCCAGTGTCATGAATACAGAAACCGTAATCTTAGCTTCATTTTTTTTGTCCTTTTAAGTTTCGTAGAAACCCCAGCTCATTTCTCTTGGAAAGAAAGTTATTACCGATCCGCTATGTCGCAGAGCTCCCAGACAAGTGAGTTCCTCAGCCCAGAAGTTTTCCAGCATATCTGGGATTTTCTGGAACAGTAAGTATCAAATAATCAACTAGTATATCTGAACTCTTAGAAATAAGCAAACACAAAAGGCAGAGATATTATTTACTGCAGAATATCATAAGAACCAGTTAATAAAAGTTATACTTTTATAGATTTAAAGCCTTCAATAATATATCTGTATTGAAAACAAAGTAGTTTTTCCTGCTAGTATCCAATACCAAAAGAACATCATTATCCTCATGAGCATCACTGCAGACATTCTAAGTGTTTTCCCCAGAACAATCCAAAACATCTTCCCCAATGATAGTGTCCCACATTCAAACCCTGTTCTTTTCTTCTTAAAGACTTATCTCCAAAGAAAGGGAAACAAATCATTTCATTAGTCATTATACTATTTCTGTGAAAAAATGTTTATTTATTTATTTTTTTTTTGATCAAGAACAAGTTTTAGTTAAGTTAACATAATGACAAAGGGGGCACTAGAGTGCTTATTGCACACCGCTGACCTTCCAGGATCTGCGTGTCCACTTGCAGAGATCATGCCTCCAGCTTGTCAAGTAGGACTTAGTTTGACTTTCCTCAGATTATGCAAATTGGAAATGCTTGAGTCAAGATTCAAACCTTGGGTTTCTGATTCTAAGCAAGGACTGACTTGCCAACACTGAAGTAGAAAATATTCATTATTACTGGTCAGCTAAATGCCTTGTAGTTTCTCCCAGTTGGTGATACACACCTTTTCCCCTCTTTGTGTTAGGCCTATATGTTCAGTCCAGCCCATCGACTTGAACTTTGTGGATGAACCATCAGAAAATGGTGCAACAAACAAGATTGAGATTAGCATGGACTGTATTCGCATGCAAGACTCAGACCTCACTGACCCCATGTGGGTGAGTACCCTGAGCTTCCTCTTCAATGTGTGGGTCAGGCTCTCCACAAATCAAAAGTAGATGGCTCTGAACAGAGAAGACCATTGGAAGGAGAGCAAAGCTAGTCAATGGGAAACAATTGGCTGCTTTTTCTTTTCGTTTGTTTGTTTTCTGAGTTGTTCTTCATGTTAAACCCAAATTAGAGAGGATGATGTCACCAGGGTTTTCTCAGTCCTAGAGAAACAAAAACTGGATCTGATTCTTCCCAGATCCATCCCACTGTGGGAACCACTTTCTCATTTGGCTTCGCTGCAATGTTGAAGGAAGAAGTAACATTTGGGCACATACTCAGAAAACAAAGTAAAAAGGAACATAGATGATAAATAAGTCCGACTTTCTGGGCTTTACCACTCTGTCACTCATAATGTTAGGATGTTAGAACTGTTACCTATTTATCAAGTGGTAAAACCACACCAGTGACTTCCATTTCTGGCTAGGTCAGGTGTATTACTGTTAATTTTGGTATACATCCTGTACTAATAAAAAACAAACAAACAAACCTCAGCTGACTCCAAGCAAAGGTGTACCTGCCTTAAAGAAGTTGTATGTTCTTGTCCTGAAAAGGGTTTCTGTGCTAACTCAAGGCTACACAGGAATAGCAAAAGTTATGATGTTTAAATCATAAGATTTTCACTTCCTAGTTCCTATCATGATTATAATTTACACACTGGCATACTTAGTTTCCTATTGTTCCAGACTATTCTGTTGTTGAAAAACATTCTCCTAAAAACATCATTTTCAGGGTTTTCTTCCCCCGCCAATTCTTGTCTGTCCCTCACTGCCCTCTTTGCCAAGTTTTCTTCTGGAGTCCCTTCTGTGCCACTCTTTCCACCCACTGGAATTCTGAAGCAACTGCTATGGTAACTCTTGGTATGTTGTGTGTTACACAATACTATACTTGCTTATTTCTCCGTCTCTTCAGGAATTGGGGGCCACAGTTTTGTCATTGGCATGCTCCAGAGCACATAGCAAGGACTCAGAAAGCTGGCAACAGGGTTTGGCCCGAGAAGACAAACTAATACTACAGCCCTTGTGGCAGCTATATTGAAATATTGAAATGTACATGGGAGAGGAGAAAGAATGAATTTCATCAAATAAACACACATACCCCCCCGTAGATACCCTGTTTTTTTTTAACTCAAAAGAATTTACAATTGTCATAAATTCTAATTTAATATGAACTGTCAACTTCTACATTAGCACTATTCTAGTACTATCTTGTGTTTATCTCTATACACCCATAGTTAGGTATGAATGGCAGTTATGCAGACAGGGCCAAATTATAACCCTCAGCAGCAGACATGGCAAAATAGCGAGTTTTCTCAGGATGCAGTGATAGTGTTCTGCTCTGTAAATGTGAAAGTAGGGAGATGCATAGATGCCTGCCTGGTCCTTCTCACTTGTTGTGTGACTACGTGGGACTTGTTTCTTCAACTGCTTAGTAGCAGCCTTTCACTCCCATTATCGGTTAATTGCTAAATACTTTGTAAAGTCTACACATAAATTACTTTCCCCCATCAATATAGTATTTTAACAAGTTGGGAACTCAGCCAATGCTTTTCTCTCTATAAGAAATGCAACTCTATAATGGGCATGAAAAGACATGTCAGATTACTAACGACAGAAATTGAGAAATTCATCCTATTTTTTTCTGATTTTTTCCTATAGCCAAGAAATGATGTCATGATGTTTTAGTATGATTATTGATAGAGGAAATTAAAGTGTAGATGTTAAGTTAGGTTGTATTAAATTGTAGATAAATGTGCCCATTTTTAAAATTAGAATGTGTTTTATGCCACTTAGAATTAGTTCCACTGGGTTAGTGAATGAGAGTGAGTGAAATATTTCAAAAGAAATTCATATTTCAATCTGTTTTTTCAAGTGCCTCTATGATCCTTGATTCCATTTTATATACTACTGCATTTCTTAGACTTATATTATTTTAAATATGTATAAGTATTCCTTTAATATGTTCAAAGTGTGGATTAAATATTAAGTTAGACATTCTCCTCAGTGAGGGATGCTGGTCACATAACTATTTTGCATTTCTTTATTTTTTATACTTCATGTTCAATCAGATTTTTCTTAAAGGAAACTGAGTGGTAATTACCTAAAATGTTCTGTGTTTATAAGTCTTTACTGACTTATCCCAGATACATGTAGGAAGTCTTCAGCTCTACATATCAACACATGGCTAGTGTGTGTGTGTGTGTGTGTGTGTGCGTGTCTGTGTGTGTGTTTGGTAAAAGCATAGGCCGTAATACCTTGCTTACATGATCTGGATTTCATAAAATTTCCATCATATATACAAGTCCAAACACACTTATTATTTAGTAACTACTTATTGCATGTTTCTTAAGATGCAGATGAGGAAATCATTATTTTTTTTCCCCCTTGAGAAGACCATGGCATAGCATTAAAGACAAATTAAAGACAACGGGTATAAAACTGCCCTTGAAATCTACTCAGAAGTATGGATAGTCTCATAGAATCACGACAAAGTAATAGTCTATTAAGAATGAGAAAGATAGCAATATGGTACAGAAAGAGTGATTTGTATTTAGGCTTTGAAATATGAGTAAAATTGATTACAACAAGGTGGGTGAGTCCTCATTTGCAAAACAGATATCATCAAATCATAGCTAGAAGGAACTCCAGAATTTGAAAAGGTCAGGCTGAAAAATTCAACTAAAGAATATTTATATAAGAAAGATTTGAGCATTATAAATTACAGAGTTGAGAGCTGGAGAGATGACTCAGCCATTCAAAGCAGATGCTCTTCTAGAGGACCAGGATAGCATTCCCAGCACAGACACTGATTGGAATTGAAAGGCTCTATGGAATGATATTCCCTTTTATACATCTGATAGAATTTACCAATGGAACCATCTAGTCCTGCTATGTGTTTTCCAGGAGCTAGAAATTGAATTTCTTTATAGGACTGCTGCTATTATTTTACCTTAGGGAAGTCTGAACAAAATGTAGTTTTTGAGAAAATGATAAATCATATTGCATATAGAATTGTTGGGAATATTTCCTTTGTATTCTATTAATACCAGAAAAATAGTCACAATTATATTTTCATTTATTATATTGGAAACTTTCAGTACCAGAGACTTACCAATTTTGAATACCTTTCAACAAAACACATAAGATTTTACTTTAACATTTTTTTCTAATAGTTTTCTCATTATTTATTTCCTGGTTTGCTTTCCAGACTTCTGTGTCTTTTATTTATTTCACTCCCCTTCCTTATTTTTTTTCGTTTTTCCCAAAATTCTTTTCTTCTCTACCATTTCTTCCTTTTCTCTCCCCTTTTCTCTGTCTCCCCTTCCTCTTTTCCTTTTTCTCTCCCCTTTCTTTCCCCATTTCCTCTTTCCCCTTCCCTCTTCCTCCTTTCCTTGTCCCCCTTTCCTCTGCCACTTCCCCTTTCCCCTTTCCTCCTTTCCTCTCCCTTTTTTATCTTCTTCCTCCTTTTTCTCTTCCTCTCCCTCCCCTGCTTCTCCTTTCTTTTATTATAGTGATCACTTCATCAACTTCATCTAATAGCTAAACCTCCTCACTTAGAGGTTTACATTTGTGAGTTGATTATTTTCTTTATCTCCAGGAAATTTTAGCACTGGCTACAATAAACTTCCCACTAGATATTGCCTTAGCTACATCCAACAAATACTGATGTGATTAATATGTTTTTCAGTTTCTGTTTAGTTTTAAATGTATTTACATGTATTAGGGACTTCAACTTTGACCTACTAGGATTGGGAAATAACCACTGAAGTATAAGACTGCACACTCTACTTCAGTTTTGTGGGAAGTTCTATAAATAGCAATTGGATCTAATTGGATTTGAAACTATAAAGTCTACAACCTTTCTGTTTTTCTGTCTCCTGTTATATTGCCTACTGAGTGTTGAAGTTTCCAAGCAATAATTATGGATCTGTTGCCTTTTCAAATGTTTAAGTTTTTCTATCTATATGTTGGGTACCTGATAAATGAATTATTAATATTCATGGTGAATTGACCCTTCTGTAATTGTGTAAATCCTTCTATTAATTTCTGATACTGTTATTTCATGTCAGTCTACTTTGTCTTGAGGAATAATTCAACAAACTGAAATTTCCAGTTACTTGGCATTTGTATGTGTCTTTCCTATAACATTTTACACTTAGATCATTGTACTTGAAATGAATTTTTCTAAATGACATGCAATGGAATTGCTTTCATGCATTATGACAATTTGTGTCATTTGTGCTGTACACACCATTTATATATAATGGAATTTGTGTGTTTTAGGACTATGATAGTTTCCTGTTTGTTCATTCTGTTATTCATGTTTCCATTTAGTCTGACTTTTTTGATTACTTGATCTTCTTTGTATTGTTTTATTTTAATTTACCTAGGTTGTCTTTAGTTTTCCTTGCACATTTTAGTGGTTACGCCAAGAATCTCAGCGTTTTTTCCTCTGTCATCTACCATGCAATTTCATGGAAGAGAATATGAAATGTAATAGAGCAACTTAGCCTTTTCATATTGTAGTCACACACACTATATCTGCAGAAACTGTCACGGTTTTCACTTTCAACTGCCTAAGCCGTGAGCTCCAGAGGAGAATTATGGACTATTTATTGAATACATTGCTTATCAGTTCTCTTTCTTGAGGGGAAACTACAATCCCCACTAGGCATTGCTAAGAAAATGATGGAACTCCTGTTACCCTTCAGTTACCAGAATGGCTGCTTTCAAAGGAAATGGTAACTATGTTTTTAAGCAGAACAGTAAGACAAGCTCAACTCTCACTTTGATTCTTGAATCCATCCAAATTTATTAACCCTCTCTTAATTTCTTCCTTTCCTCAGTCTCAGCTTGCAGATACACATGAAATGCACCCACATGTCATGCAATTTGAACCACACTTATATTGTAATCCCAGAGAATCAAGTCATTACAGTCTCTGGTATATG